CACTGAGCGCTGTGACAGTAGCTCAGAGAGAGAAGACGGGGGTTTGGTTCGCGGCCCTTTTAAGGCACGTGCCTCTTCATTTGGCCTTTTTAGTGGGCAGGGTTCAAATGGCCGGCTGCAAAACAACTGTTTCGAGGTTTGCTGCACATTTCAGATTGGGCGATGGGTCACTTTGTGTTTATTCTATGATCCCACAGGTCAGAGTCGCTCAGTATATTCTGTATTATAAGCTGCAATTGGCTGCAAAGCATTTGTTTCCCTGGCTGGTGTTTTCTGTCATAATACCGTCAGTCTTTGGTATTTTTACACCCCACGCACAATGGGTTCCATGTCTGTACGGGGATTCAACCTCAGCGGGTCAGAAAGAGCAGCTCTGTGTGGGAGGAACTTTTTCCTGGACCTGGTGGTCCTCGCCGGCCACCTTTTCCAGCATGGCAGTGACCGGTTTGAAAGGAAGTTGAGTGAAAGTCTTAGACTCTTTACCTGTGCAACCAATGTGGTTCTGCTGACATTGATTTTACTGAAGCACAAAATACTATTTCCATGGCTCTTCATTTATTTCCCAAAGTGCACCAATGCATTTAAATAAGTACAATATTTTGTGTGAATGTTCCGCGGTCTTTCTTCAAACTGTGTGTAGAAATGTACTCAATCCAGCCCCCCCCCCCATCACCTCGATTTTATTATCCTAAGAGTCGAACACAGTGAGCGTGATTCTTTAGCCCGCCGGCCGCCATCGGAGCCGACTCAACCTCAGATGGCATGTTGAAGAAAAATCTCATGATGCTGTTTAGAACGAGCCTCTTCATCTAATAACCGCTCCACTATCAAATTGGAGAAGTGCTGTCAACATCCTGCGCAATCAATGTCATTCATCCCCCACTCCCCGAGCAGCAACCATTAACCCCTTCTTGTTCCGGCATGCCTTGCCTCACTAAAATGGTGGGCCAGCTCTAGACATCTTTCTATAATGGCTGCGTAGCACAACCCCCCCCCCCCCCGAGCATCGAGTATCGACATTCAAATGGGAGTGTTTTTGTCGTTTGCCCGGTGCAGACGGAGGGATATGCAAAGAATGTCAAACTTGTTGCAGGCGGAGGTTTGCTCACCGTGCTCTACGACAATAAATGGCACACAAATACACAATCCAGATGTGTGCATTTACCAAAAAGCTGGAGCACTCAGAACGGGGTGTTTTTTAAGGGAAAGCATTGCGTCATCTTCCTTCATATATCCCTGACTTGGTGCTGTGGCAGTCGGTCATGTGTGGCCATAATGTGATTAGCTCACACACACACACACACACACACACACACACACAGGGAGAGATTCTGCTCTGCACTGTGTGTCTATGTAATGTGTTTACATAGACACACACATATTCATGCTTTATTTGAATATTATAAGTTAATTTGGCCTCACTGACTGAGTACTTATAAATGGACTCTCAAATAACTTCCTAGAAGGTTGGTTGAATGTTGTTTTTTGAGATGTAAAATACTTTTTAAACATTTTATTCACATACGTTTAAATTTGAAAGTATTGCAGGAGCCCTTGCTTCTCTGCCCCGGTCGGGTGTGGGAACTGGTGTCTTTAAAGAAGTGATCTCTGGGTGGGGCGCTGATGAAGGGGCTGAGGCCACTGATCATAAGGAGTGGTCCCAAAGCATCAGTATCCACTTCTAACTTGACAAAAACACAACGTAGTGTTAACATTCCTCAGCTGACCAAGGTCCCAATTCTAGTGCCAACATGTCTATTCATGGCGAACGGCTTCCATGTTTCAATTACTGTGCTGTTTCTTCTTTTCCTGAAGCTGCCGGAGAAACAGACCGTTTCTGTGTATTTAACTTAACTACACTTCTTACCCCATACACGAGGAATCATTTACCAGTTTTGTGTTCATATAGTTTTAATATCAACCACATTCATTCGTCCACATGGTGTACGCGCACACGTGTGTGTTCACCTACTCGGTTGATGTGATTTAAGTCTGATTTGAACGATAGTATTGCTTTTAGCTTTACGCCATTTGTCCGTGTCATCCTATTGGCCATTCAGGAGCATTTTGAAGCCCCGTAGTCATTCATCTCTTTTGGAGCCAACTAGGATGGGACGTTCAATGAGGCTTTGGTAGACCCATCTGATTCTGTAGCGCCAATGCTATTTATAAATGCGTAATGGAATTTTTCAACTCATGGGTATGATAATGTGCTGATAATCATCGCATACTCATATTTATTAGTTACTTGTGAGCTGTACCCAGCATGCAGTTCGACGAAGTGATTTTATAAATGTCCAATTATTAGTGTAACAGATTGTTTGTGTCACAAGCTGTCGTGGTGTTTTACCCCGTTAAAGAGCGTTTTGTCCTGGGTTATTCATAGTTGTTATAACATGACTCAACACACACATAAGACAAATGGCTCCGACCGCTGCGCTAGTCCAACCTCTAAATCTGTTTAAAAATAACAGACCTGTGCCCGTCTGAATGCAGCTGAAGAAGCAGGAAGCCGAAGCCTGTTGCCGACGGGACGGTGGTGTTCTGTCCCCTCTAAGAGGACACCTTGACCTCCGCTCTCCCATAACAGAAGCCTGTTGCTGACGGGACGGTGGTGTTCTGTCCCCTCTAAGAGGACACCTTGACCTCCGCTCTCCCATAACAGTGTCCCTCCTGGAAGCACAAGTGTGTACGTGTGTGTTTGTAGGTGTCATTGTGCATGTGTTTTTGATGAAACACAAATCAAAGGCCAGTTACCCAGCGTTGACTGGCTGTTTTGTTCCAATTGTAGTGATCTGGGAGTGATTTTTTGGAAGGGAACAGTTCGTAATTTACCTTGGAAACAGACCTGTCTGTTAAATTCCAGCACGTATTAGACATTAGAAATGACTAAACACAGGTCATTAAATAGATCTGTCAGTGAGTCCCAAATATACAGACGCACTGTGTACACGCACTTAAATATAATTTCATAAGAGGATTTGATTTTAAGATATTTATGGGGTATTTCAGTCAACGGTCACATACACCATCCATTAAAATCTAGAATTTATATTGTGAATTGCTTGCTGACAAGCAGAATGATGTTTCCCATGAAGCTTTATGGCTGCCTGTTTGGTTACAGCCACTAAGATTACATGTAGTGCCGTCCTCTGGGCCACTGAATAGGGAAAGGAACATACAGCATGTATAAAAGCTGCAGAAGGCAAATCTTTTTGTCATGCACGAGTAAGCATGTGAGATTATACATGGCTGCAATCTGAACTATCTGCTGTTATAATCATTTATAATGGTTAAAGGTTAACCGAGGCGGTCAGATTGTGTACAAAGGTCCATAATGCTTCCAAATGGGGCCCGTGTTATTTTAACATGGCAATTCTGTACCATTCTCTACGACGTACTATCGGTGTATTGGACGGCAGATGAATTTTTTATGGGAAATGAGTAGCACAAACTTTTCAGCACAAAATATTTGCCAATGTGATGAAATAATATCTTGTTTTGAAAATGGATAAAACTAATCTGCTGGTATGTCTTTGAACATGTGAACATTGGACTTCAAATATTAGTTTTTTTTCCCCCCCTACTTGAATTTAAGCACGTGGACCCGAAACTAATCAGTGCTTCACCTAGGTTTACAACTTTGGGGGGCCAACGGATCGCAGTGCTGCCACAATATGTTTTTATATTTTAATTCCAGACTTTCTTTCTCTGGCGGGGGTCGCCTTCAGGAGGGCGAGGCGGAAGGAGAAGCACTGAATTCATTTTCATTCATTCAAGTCTGAGAGGAAAGAAAGTGTGTTTTCGGTAGCAAACACACTTTAGTAACAAAGGCCCTTTTTTGCATTTTCAACCCACATCCTGAAAGGTCCAATTTTCACCAGGTGTGCGGGTTGATGGCGGACGAGTATTTGTTTAGGGAGCATGAACGTTGACAAACGTTACACGGACAGCGAGTGAGAGGGTGAAAATGACTTGCTCTCAGGGGCCTTGACAACCTTTGCCCCGCCGGCTCTCGTTTCAGGCCTTGTAATTGCCACTGACCAATGGGCTCCCGTTTGAAACTGGACTCCGGGCTGCAGCTATTAACGTCCCCCCCCCCCCCCGAACGGATCTTGTTTTGATTCCTGATGCTTTTATAGGTTTTGTCTTTAGGAGACATTCCTGGTCAGCACATACCGTGCACCCCCTTTCTGCCCCTATTTTCCTTCCTTCCCGTCTTGTGGGGCCATTACGACCCCCCCTCACCCCGAGCCTGCACTCACAAACATACACACAGCCTTGATCGGCCTCCGCAAGTGTGTGTGCTTGTGCGCATAGTGCTACTGACCAGCCCGCCCTCTCCCAGCCCCTCCTGACAGCCAGCTACACTCCATGAACTTGGCCACCCGTCACAGCTGCGTTAAGATTGAAGGATGGGGGGCCCTCGTATCCAGCTGGGTCGGAAGACATGGGTGGGGGCAGGGCCGGCCCAGATGCAGATGGTTTAGGTCAAATGGAGATGTTTGAGGATGAAGGGGGAGGGGGACACAGGGGCTCAGGGGCACAATAACTCCAGAGGTTACTACTCCTCCAACCCCTGGCAAAATGCTCTGAGTTTGAGTGTGTATTGGTTTTTATACGTTTGTGTTGCAGGATGTTGGTTGTCGCTAATAGCTTATAAAGTTTGCACACATTTTTAATTTTATTTTAGCCGGACGTGAACTTTTCACCGGCAGTTATTGCCAGAAACTCAACACACACTAGAGAAGTCCTTTCTTAATAATTACAAATGTGCATCTGCATTAGAGGTGCTAGGCAAAGTCCCTGCTTCAGTCTCAGCTGGGGAACTAAGTGGCGAGACAAATGTGTCCCCCCCCCCCATGTTTGCTCTCTGCATCTCACTTTAATGAACATAAAACCACAAAAAAATACAAGCCACGGCACAGCGTCTGCAGTGGATTCTACTCTGAAGGCTAAATTCGTTTACTGATCCTACCGGTGTTCTCTCCCTGTCACAGAACGGGAGTGCAGCCTGGGCGGAGGACGCTGACGGGAGCAGAGGAAGAGGAGAGGCCTCCAGAGACTTTGCTAAGGTAAGCGTTTGGAGTCTGGGTTCATCTATCATTAAACCACACAAAAAAATCCATTTGCATAACCACATTCCTCCTTATAGATATCCAACTAGTGGAAGTTGTAAATAAGTTAACGGTTGAAAGATTCTCTAAACACCGCTGTTCCCATGGTTTAACGAGACTTAAAAAGTTATTTAATGTTACTGCTTCTGTGAAAAGTTGCACTCGAGCACGGCACAAACGTAATGGCTCACCATCGGGAAGCTGCTGACGTGCACATGTGCTTTGCGTCTGTGTTTGAGGAACCGAGCATCCGACATAAAGAGAATATAGAATGATTGCTAGTGGTGTTCTTTGGGAATCAAAACGATTTAGCCCGCTGACGTTTAAAGTCAGCAGTGGCGGACCCACAAGGACCCATCAGCGTCCTGATGCGTGTGTTTCTCTTTCAGCTGTATGAACTGGACAGTGACCCTAAAAGGAAGGAGTTTTTGGATGACCTCTTCACTTTCATGCAGAAAAGAGGTAAGAGGCAACCCCAGGAAATCCACCTCAAATTAAGAGCCATCTGCTTCTTTTTGTTTTTTCCCCACAGTACGGATTTTCATTGCAGCGGATCCAGCGGTTTGGCATAAAACTTTTGGATTCGTCTGAATGTTACGTTAATCCCTCCTCTACCTCCAGTTATCAATTTCCTTAGTTACAGTTTGATGAAATAGGGTTGTTGTGGCAAAAGTTTACGTTGTCAATTGGTTCCTCATGATAAATGTCTGCGTTCAGCTCTGGTTTGCAGGCTTTATATCCTGAAGATAGTATGTACACTGAAATCCAGTTTGATTGGGAAAAACTACAACATGGGCATGATATCTATAGGGAGGTTAAAGGTTTCCACAACATAAGTAGCTTCCCCCTTCCTATGTGACCACATAACTTTCATTTCATAAGTCATTTCCAGGCTCGTTGTGAGGAAGGTTTGCTATGGTTTTGTTTTTATCACAGCATCTGGAATTTCTCAGTAGATTGAGCGGCGTTCGGCCTACAGCAGAGTCCAAGCAAACATAGCAAGTACAAATATAGATGTTATCTTCCTTGTTGCTTTCTTGTTCTAATGTATTGACTTCCAAGAGTGCTGGCAAGAGTTCCCACTGTGACTCTCCCTGCCCCCCCCCCCCATCTCCCAGAGTAAAGCCTCTGAGGGATCAGCCTCAATGGTCGCAGTATCAGAGCCAAGAGGATCTGGCGCTGGCCTAACTCATTTAGTTTTCCCAACAGCTGACCGCGTGTCGCTATGGCATCGCCTAAAAAGAAACCCCTATAACTTACGCACTTGGGCTCCTATCAGACACAATCTGTTGCCAAACAAGTTACACGGCTCGAGCAATACCTCCCAAGCTGAATCCCAATGTTATTACAGTGGCGCATGCTCTACGTTCTGTTTTGGCAGCGCTTGTGATGGGTGATGATGGTCTGCGAGCCTGGGTGTTCGTACTCCATCACGTTTTGCCACAGGCTACGACGGGCGATGCCTCGTATGCGAGCGTGTGCCTGGTGCGTAGTCTGTTTAGTCGGACTGTGACAGATGGTGATGATGTTGGCGGTGCGTAAACGTGTGCATCGAAGGAGCGGGAGGAGCGGGCCTTCCAAGTGTCTGGCCTGTTCTGGTCTCAGCACCCGGGGGTCTTGTTTGGCGGGTGATGAATTAGGCGGAGTCGGGGAGAGAGGGACGAGGTCTGTCAGGGCCCTGTTAGCATCTCCGTCCAGTGGCAGACGCTGGGAGTGGTTGGCTGACCCTTTGCTTGCACTGGTCAGACGGGGAAATCCATCAAGCGGACTAAAAGGCCTTCCTCACCGCAGATCTGAGTGTCATTCTCTCTATGTACATGCGCGTTTCCTGTAGGCAGAAAGACACCGGTTGCCTTTAAAGTCTTTATCGCTCGTTCTTGTTTTGAGCAAATGGAATGAATTCTAACAGATTCACTGCTAATTCACATTTGTTTCACTTGATTGGCAGAATTACGATATTGAGCGAGAGCAACTGGAATCGGCTCCAGCGTTTAGAATAAAACTGCCACGGCTGCACTGCGCTTCAGATGCAGATGCAAAACACTGCTGTGGCTGCATTAAAGACCTTGTGCAGGAGGGAAGGGTATAATTTCAGCTACTCTAGAGTGAGTTTCTCACTCCCCCCTCTCTCCCCCCCTTAAGGAGAGAGGCACTTGGCTGACCTCTGCTGTCTCTCAAACCACAATCTTAATCACAGGGAACAAATTGCTTTGTTGGATTCTTTTTTTTCCCCTCCTTTTAGTACTAAGAATATGATTTGAAGAGCAAGGCTCACTGCGCTCTCTTTAGTGTTACCTTGTAATTACATTGCGTTTTACTCCTCCTATTTTACCTCAAAGATATGGGGTCAAGATTATTGCCCTTTTTCTTCAAAATAGAGTACATAAAAAGCATGTTGAATTGGATGTGCCATGTGGAACAGGCAGGAGGGGAAGAGGGGGGGTGGGGGTGTAACAGCTAGTGAGAAAGGAAATGCCTGGCTCTTTATTTAACTGACCTTACAAGCCCAATGGTTTAAAAAACACTACCTTGTTTTGCGAAGCAGATTGGTCGGAGAGAGACAAATGGCAAAGTGCTTTTTCCCACCTCGCCATGGGGCCTCCAGGCCTTGAGAGGAAAAGCTACAGCGGAAGGAAAACTTACGAGGGATTCCCATTTCCTGCCTCTGCGCTTAAAAACAGCCGTGTGTGTGTGTGTGTGTGTGTGTGTGTGTGTGTGTGTGTGTGTGTGTGTGTGTGTGTGTGTGTGTTAATGGTTGAGGAATTTTAGCAGCTGTCCTAAAGCCTGTCTGTGCGTAAAGGGCCCCATTGATGCGCCCCGAATCACAGAAATGGCAGAAGCCACACATGCAAATGCTCTCTACTTTTACTACTTTGCTGAACATTTCAACACTGTCGCCGGGCGGCTTTCACTCTCACCATTGACCTCCGCCCTGTTTGTTGCTTGTCTTTTCTTAAGAGAAGCGGCTCGACTTTGTTCTGCCGTAGAACCTCCTCTCATCTCCTGCGCAGAGAAAACATCCGCTAACGGCATGTAAATGTAATGTAAATGTAATGTAAATGCGAGAGGCCTTTTTGCGTTGGGAGAGTACGGGTGGAGGATGACATTGCAGACGACACTGTTCATCATATCCATTACAGGGTTTTCTTTCTGTTGTTTCACGCCCACAACTCAAAGGTTTCCATAAAGCAGATGTGTGTGGGGGGGGTTGTTATGGCTTGACACCCCTGCAACTTTCTCACTTGGCTTGGGGGGGGTTGGTGGTTTTGGGGCAGGAGGTGATAGTGGTGCAGGGGGGGGGACTGGGAGAGAGCTTCGGGTGCGCGATAAAGAGGAGAGTGAGAAAAAAAAATAAAAAGAGTGATGCAGCCAACTGCCTGTCAGCGCTGTCCACTTGAGATGATTAATGGCCACAGGCTGTGATGGACGCTGCGAGAAAGAGAGGCTCCTGTTCAGTGAAATCACCAGTCAAGAAAGGGGGGAGTAATGGTGGGGGGGATAAAGACAAGTGTTTTAGCTCTTTCTACTCCAGCCAGAAAGCGCCACACGTCGGCCCAGGCTGGATCCATCCCGACGTGACGCCCTTAATGTGAAGGGTACATTCAGCTTAAGAGGGGCCACATGGTGTTCATCGCCGCTTAAGAGTTATTTCAGGGGGAAATCCCTCCGTGATCGATTTAGGCCCGTTAATAGCAATAAAGTGCTAAGCCGGACTTGTCTGTGTCATTAAGTGTCAGTGGTCTTGACGGGTTCGGGAGAGATGCTCAGAATTAAGAGGAAGGAGTAGGAAGGAAGGAAGGGGATAAAAGTGCTAATGAAGATGTCTCATTTAGCTGCAGCTCCACAGTCAGACCTGCTGTCAGTGGCTCTGCTCAGTTCGCTAAATGGCACGTGCACTCTGTTTGTCTAAAGTATCACACCCGTCATTCCCATTGTATTTTCTTTTACAGCCATCTTGAGCTCACTACAAACAAGTAAAGCGGATAAAAATGAACCTTTTCTTCCATTGCATGAACATCCATTTTCTGTCCTGGTTTAGTTGGATATGTTTTGTTAAGTGAGATGTGGTGGGAGTGGCCTCTCGGCAGGACATTAGGGGAAGTTCTCTAACTGTAACCCTGAGACCGAAAGCTCTGTCCACACCAATTACACCATGAATGGGCTCTGGGGGATCCGTGTGTGCATTATATTACTCCCCGGTCAGCCTCGTAACAGGCGGGCCCTCTGTACAAACACCCCTCTACAATAGGAACATTCTCTGGCTCTTTGATTTGCCCTCATTTTCCTTTAGTTAACACCCCACAACTTCTGGAAAGTGGCAGCACCTGGTGGGTTTAGCAACAGAAACACTGGACATTGTGAGCTCATTTGTCCACTTTACATGGCGTCGGGTTTCGGGTGGAGAGATTTTCCTTCGAGATCGACCCTTTAACTGCCACTTTGCTTGATAACTAGGATATCGTTCATGCAGTAGATGTTATCAACGATCCGGTGATCCATTTATTTAAACCATCTCTATATTCTGACGCAGATGCAATTTACACAATCGATGCACTTTTTAAGACCCCGATGCGGATTTGACTTAAAATGCACCAATAAAATGCGGTTAGGAGTTGACATTTTGTCCTCGTCTCTCTTTCTGTCTCCGTCCCCTTCCTCCTCCTTTGCCCCCACCCCCTGCTCCTTCCCCCTCTGTTTATTGTGCTACAGTTACAACCACTGAAACTTGATAACACCATGGGGGATAGGGGCGGAGGGCCGCTCGGTGAGGCCGGGTGGGGGGGGTGTCGCAGGGTTTGGATTAAGGGGCCTCCTGTCCTACACAGGATGATTAATGATCTCCTAAAAAGCGGGGGCCCAACCTTTTTTGATAGGGCCAAACGCTTATGGGCAGCAGACAAGGGAGTGACCGACGCGTGTCTGTTTGAGGTGAAGAGAGGAATGACGAGGGGCCATACGATGGAACCGCAGTAGGAGACGAGGACAGATGCTGGGCCAGGCGGGGTGGTTTTGGGGTGGGGGGTGCTTTCATTTCCCTTTTTTCAAAGTGACCAAACTCTCCAACCAGACCGAGAGATTATCAGGCAATCGCTGGTGGCAAAGGGCGCCTTCTCTCAGGAAAGGGCAGGGACCCAAACGACACATGTACTCCAACCGCTGCTTTCTAATCATTGCATAAAAGCACAGGCCAACGGTCGTCATTGGACAAATCGTCCCCTGCGCTCGCGATCAAAGGTTTTGTGGTCGCCATGTTGGAGTATGCGAGGGCTGATATTATCTTTGCTGACTACACCCATTGGCTGGCAAATTACAGCCCCGCCTGTGGAGAGCGATCACATCTACGCTGGTTGTGCTCCTTCTTTCAAAACAAAAGGAAATGGTAGTTTTAGATGTTTTCCTTATGGGCGTGGCGGGGGTTATTTTTCCGGTATCCGCGAGCAACTGAGACTACTCTTTGTGTC